TGTAAGAGCATGGGAGTATACGCAATGATGTATCACGTTATACATGTTGCAGTGAATCTGTCTTAAAAATAAAATCATATAGTTCAAAGTTATTATTACAAAGTTTATAAAAATTAAATCTTCTTATTTCAATGGTAATTATAATTTTAATTATATTTTTATAATTTTAATTTTTTATAATTTTAATTATAATTTTAATTTATAAAAATTAAATCTTCCTATTTCAATGATTGTTATTGTATCTGATTGTAAGATATCACCAATTTTAATAAAACACTTAAAACAGAAATTATTTGTCTTATTTTATTTACATAAAAGACATGTGACAATCAATCTTTGGTATAATGTGGATAGTCACATTTGTGCTACTTTACTTATAATTTAATAACTTTTTAATACATTTTTTTTTTATAAATATATATAAGGATAATACTTTTTTTCCTTTGCTTGGAAGTTGTATCTGTATGAACATTTGCACAATATTAAAAAAAATATTGCATATGTCTTTTTTTAATCAGTATGTAAAAAGTGTAACGATCAGACACGATCTCCTCTATTCAAACTAACATTATTTTATATGTAAGCAACAATACATAATTTTGAAATTTTGAATTTCAACAATGGATTTCAATAATGTTATAATTTTATTTGAATAATAGTTTAAATATTAATATTTTATTTATTATAATAGTCTCCTAAGAAGTACAATATATGAATATTGTTATCTTGATGATAATATTTTTTCCCGACTTAAGAACATTTTAAGTCCTTTTTCCCGATTTAAATATATACTACTCTTAATTTAATATTTTGTGTTTTCCATCATTGAAAATTATTTTTGAGTAATAAGAATATATTTTTCTTTGTTGATTTAAATAAAATGTGTTAATACAAGTAACTTATTTTTATTTATATAACGCTATATAATCTCTAATTTTGAGATTTACGTGTTAAAAATAAAAATATTTTACAAATAAGAGTATCTTTTTTTTCTGTGTAGTAGAAGACCACATAGCTTTCTTGTGAAAAATAAGTTGCTAAGTACTTTTAATAATTTTTAAACAAATATGCTCTGAGAAACGAGCACTTCTTAGAATGCCTTGGACATAAATGACCTTGGTTGCTATTGGGAGGGTTAATAGTTTGAATCAGTTAGTTTCAACTAGATACGTGTGAATCAAGAATTTCTCATTTCCATAAGAAGGTTTACTATATTTTTTGATTATCTACTTATTCTACAACTTACGTTGTTTCTCTTAAACTGCAGGACCAATTATGAGTTCTGCCATACAGCAGCATTTTATATGATAAACATGATCGGATGAGTTCGCGGAAAGAGCGCTTCGATGCTTTGGCAGAAATGTATGGGAAGCCGGTGCTTTTGCAAGAAATGCAGAGAAGAAGAGAGACTCGTATCGTCCTCAAGATTACCGGCATAAATGCGAGCTTAAAGGGGAATAATAAATCACGTGGCAATTTACGACGCGCGCCTAGTGTACACGTATACCGTTTCTTACGAGTGTCAAAGAGATAACAAGGTCTGTCGCGATGCTCGATTTTTGTCGGTCGCACATCGGGTTTTGTCACGACGTCGTCATGATGCATTCTCATAGAATCCACGGAGGATTTTTGCCGCTTTTTCGCTCGCAAACTGTCCGGCAATGCCTTCACGAGTACAGCCCGACGAGCGCATCGGCGCACGCACGCACGCACGCACGCACGCACGCACACCGACGCTCCTCCGTGTTTGCAGCGCCTTTTTAAAATTCGTTACGCTGAATTTATTTTTAACGTGTCGAGTGCCTTTCGGAATTATATGCAGATCACCCGATTTGCGATTATTTGAGCGTTCGTACAATATCCGCCGCATTACACCGCGCGTTTTTCCAGCGTTTTTAAGCGTATCGATTCGGCCGTTGTGTAGAGTTGCAAGTTTTGTAACAAAGTTGTTGAAACAATCCACCAATTATTCAAATTTTTTGCATAAACGCGAAAGAGAGAAAGAGAGGGAGGGGGAGAGAGAGAGTGAGAGAGAGAGAGAGGGGGGGAAGAGAGAGAGCGGGCGTGTTTGTAGATGACAAATTTCGTTCTCGAGCGATCGTACTCGACCGGGATCTTCGACTAGCGCGTCAAACTGTGACAGTCCTGACGAGCCCTGCAAATTTCAACCGTTCCGCGCGCGCGGCGACTCTCTTCCGCCGAGGAGAAGATACCTGCCCTATACGGGAGCCCGTCGACAGATCAGGCGATTCGATTTCTCGCCTGATGCGTATCGAACGAAATACCTGACTGCATCTACGTGCAGTTTACTCTAATGGGGCTTTAAGCCCTCGTTGATGCTCGCGCAAAAGACAGAACGGGAACGAGTGGCCATGGCAGGAAGTATGACCGGGACGAGGGGGCGGAGAGAGGGAAGACGGAGGGGAACGCGCGGGTTGCGATCGCAGAAAGCCGAGAAGGGCATGTGTTGCACGGGGGTGCAAGACTGCTGTATTGCGACAGGGAGAGAGGGTGGAGAACGAGGAGGTGGAGGCGGAGGTGGAGGAGGAGGAGGAGGAGGAGGAGGAAGAGGGACGGGCGGTAGTATGCACTCGTGATATTTGCTAATCACTGACAGCGACGGCTTTTAAGTACTGTCGAGCACATACGTATAATGTGCGCACTTACATTTGTAGGGTATTTCGCGCGTGTACACGCGGGCCGGATATATGGAGCGGCGCATGAAAAAAAAGGGGAAAAAAATGAAGCACCGGGTGAGGCTTAAAAATTGGCAAATCCGCCGATCGGACGTCATCGGCGTATCGGTTATATCGGTACCGGTCGTTGTGCGGCTTAAAAATGAAATTGCGCCCGTTCTCTCCCCGCCGCCCTGCCGCCGCCGCCGACGCCGACGCCGCCGCCGACGCCGCCGACGCCGCCGACGCCAGGATATATCAGGCAAAACGACAATTTCGTTTTGGCAACGCGAGCGATATGGCTTAATCGCCTCGATCGTCTCTCGCGCTCGAGTATCGGAGGTATCGTTTGACGTGTACGTGGTGTACACGTCCGTATATGTGTGTGGGTGTGTATGGGCGTTTAACAAGCGGGGATACGCCAAATAACTTGGGAGGGTCGCAGGGATTTCCGCGACTCGTCACACAAACGGGAGAAAAATTCTTCCCTTCGACCGCCCACGGATGTTTCCTCCATTCGAGCGTGATGCTGCAATTATGATTTGCCGCCTAGAGGAGTACACGCGCTCGTGTTGTGTACAAATGGTTTTAGACATTTATATACGATCGTGCGATTGTCGGAAAATGGAATTGCGAGCGGAATCGTTTGTGATCCTCTTTGTGCGCTCCCTCGAGTCGTTTATGAGACGAAGGAAGTGTACAATTGCCTACGTTTTCAAATTTTGTAATGTTTTTTGGATATGTGGGAAGAGCCATCGACATTGGAAAGATATGTCAAACGTATTAATTATTAGGTTGACGCGTACAAAAAGTCTATCGTATTTGTTAATTAAAATTGAAGGTAGAATTTTCCAATTTTATAAGATTTTAATATCACTGCTCGACAATATTTTACTACACGAGTACGAATAGTCATTTCTGATGTATTTTTAGTTGCTAAACGTAAATCTGTGTTATGAATTTGTCCACCGCGTCACAATCTTGAAAAGGACGGAGTAAAAAAGATTAAAAAGGATCTCATGACCTCATAGCAACAAGATATTTTTTTTTTAATTTTATTAATTCTATATGAAAGTATGAATTTTAATCCTTTATGAGTTTGTGATCAATATTTTAATTACCTTACATACATACATATATATATATATATATATATATATATATATATATATATATAATATTATATAAGGTTCAAAATATCTATCATTTGAACATTCAGTGGTCGATTTTTTGCCAAGCATAAATAATAATAAATTATAAATATTTATAATAATAATTATAATAATAGTAATAATAATATTATTTATAATAATAATAAATATTATCAAGTTTCTTATATTTCACATATTTGTTACATATCTAAACTTGTAACAGAGACATTAGAGTTATTACTTTTAAAAATGTTTTGCCCTTAAAAATAATTAAGCTTTAAAATGTGTTTTCGATTTTTTGTTTCTACATTTACGATTTTTTGTTTTGGAGATATAATTATTTAAAAATAGCAGTTTCGCACCGTGTAATAAATGGAAAAAGGATTTAATTCTATCTTAACATCACATTGAAAGTAAGGTGTGGAATGTAAGTTCTTTTGTGTGTAAAAAGCAATTTTATTTTATGCTTATGTAATATAATCAACAAATATTAAATAAGATAATATTAAATAAGAGAGTAATAACTGTAGCAATTATTTTCATTTTGGACGACAACACAGTCTATATTCTATAGCCTGTACAATATATAAAATTGCTGAAGTTATGCTGCTCTTTTACTTAACATTTTTGAATTATATTGTATTGTGTAAGTGCAAAAAGCACTTATTTTTCACACAATGCGCATTAAGATACAATTAAACTTTTCATTTTACTACATGAGGTAAGAGCCATTATTAAACAGCTTTATCTTCAAAATAAGAAATTGTACGAAAATGAAAAACAACGCATCTTAAAGCTTGAAATACAAAAAATTGATGAAATTTAGAAAGAAAGAATGCAATTTTAGAAGCCCGAGAATAGACTGGCACTATTATAAAAATTATAATAAAACAGTAAAAATGACCATAAATATGATAATTTTTATTACATTTATAATAATTTTTACTATATTTTATTATAATTTTGGTAATAATACCAGTCTTTTCTCGGACAATTGAAGTTGTGTGCATCGCAATTTTTACTACAATATTTTCTCCGTGTGATAAAACGTTTCACTTGTTCAAGTCAGCCTACGATACGAGTTTCAATGAAAGAATAAGAAGATGGAAACTAAAACTGCGGAGATTGTTTTCGTCGCAAATATACAGCACAGTCGTGGTATTATTGTTTTCAGATCACGCAACGTCGTCCGACGCAGCCGTTGACGCTGGCGACACGGAGCTCGGTCATTTGAGCGATCATCAGATCAACGACGGCCTGCACGATCCTCTGAACCTGGGTGAATCTGACCGACCGCGCAAAGTGCGGCGTTCACGCACGACCTTCACGACCTATCAGCTGCACGAGCTCGAGAAGGCCTTCGGCAACACGCAGTATCCGGACGTGTTTACCCGAGAGGAGCTGGCAATGAGACTGGACCTCTCGGAGGCTAGAGTTCAGGTACGAACGACGATATTTTGCGAAAGTAAGGAAACGCGCAAAAACGTTTGCACCGGAGAGGGAAAGGGAGAGAGGGGAAGAGAGAGGGGAAGGGGAAGAAAGAGAAGGGGAAGGAGATGATGATGATAGATATTTATTTAGCTCTAGTAGCTATCACAGTAGATTTTACCCACAAAACTGAATCTACAGTTACATTATAATTTTTAGTTAATAATAATTTTAGCTTCATTATTGTTAACAATCCCACCTCCAAACATTCTTTTCTCTTAATACGTTGCGCAAGCATTTTTCTAAGGCTTTGCAGACTTTGTTCCCTCTTTATTTCATTCGAAAGCTTATTATACATTTTAAATCCGTCATGCGATAACGTTTTCTGTTCTTTACTAATTCTACATCAATCAATGCTATTACTTAATTAATTAATATTACTTCTTTGTATAGTGTTTATTGTACCTTCATATAGTATTAATTTTATTTTATTAAATATTAATTTTATTTTATTTTATTAAATAAATAATTAGGACACGTGCTATTAACTATTTTATATATCAGATGGTTGTGTCCTTATCTTAATGTATATTCTTTCTTGGAAAAATTTTATATGAATGATTTAAAGAAGTATTTGATGATTTTTGTAGTAATTTTGATAAAACTGCATAAAAGATATCACTCCACCGATTTTTTTTTTAAATATGTTATAGAGAATGAAATTCCGAGTAACTTTTTCGTATACAACTATACATGGGGGTCGCATATAGTTTTGGAAATATTCGACTTTAAAGTTTTGAAAATGTACATGTTATAAATAGACTTTACTCATTTTTATATAGACATACACTATACACATATTAAATAAAGTATACGTATATGCGCGGCGGAGGGACTCCCCCCGCACTCCCCTAAGAAACTAACCCTAACTTAACCTATCTATTGAAATATGGTAAACTGTACACGTATATACGTATAACCCAATCTTTACATTTATATATATATATATATATATATATAATTTGTGGAAAACAATATAAGAATATAAATGCAGATACTACTTGCAATATATTTTGCATATAATGTAAATTGCAAGATCTCAAACAGTACCTGCATTTGTATTTTTATATTGTTTTCCATTGACAAATTATATATAAAAATATAGAGATTGAGTTACGTATATACGTGTACAATTTACCATATTTCAATAGATAGGTTAGGTTAGTTTTTTGAGGAGGGGGCGCATATATACGTGTACATTGAGAAAAAATTTATTAAATATTAAAAACGTTTGTTTGGATACAACTGTGAATATATTTGTTTAAATTAAGTAATTATTTTCTAAAATCAAAGAAAGAAATTTATATTTGAAACTTCTTTATTTAATTTTAGAAAATAATTACTTAATTTAAACAAATATGTTCACAGTCGTATTCAAACAAACGTTTTTCGAAATTTAGTAAATTTTTTTCTCAGTATACTGTTTGCTATATTTACCTTATTTTTTAATGTTTAAACTTTAAAGTCAAATATCCCCTTGCGTAGGAGTCTTTGCTAATTTTTTCAGAATCTATTAATTTAGTATACAATAAACTCATTATTTTCGTAGGCGAAAGATTTAAGTCATACATTTATTATTTCTACATATACAAAAACAATTTATTGGTGCGTATGTTACAATAAATATGGAGGAGTATCGTCGATTGTCAGGGTTAAGTCCATTTATAACATATACACTTTTAAAACTTTAAAGTCGGATATCTCTAAAACTATACGTGACCCCCATATAGTTGTATAGGAAAAAGTTACTCAGAGAGAGAATTTCATTGTCTATAACATGTTTTAAAAAGAAAAAATCGGTAAAGTGTTACCTTTTATGCAGTTTTTTTCATAATTTCTTTTGTTTTATTATCTAATATATAATTTATATAGCGCTGAAATGAAAAAGACAAGATGTTAGGCAATGTTAGATTAGATGTTAGGCAAATGTTTTTTCGCAAATTATTTGCCAAATAAAATAGAAAACAAAATTACCCAACTTTGAAGAATTAATAATGTTTAGGAGTAAAATGAACATCGACTGGGTATTTTTTGGACAACTAATAAAGACTTCTATTCTCCTCTTAATTGACCATATTTTCTAAGATAATTTAGTAGAAAAATTACTTTTGCATCAACGTAATAATACGTAATTTCAGTTATGATTTTAATAAACCTAAATGTGTCTAATTTGTTTCTTTTTATGAATTGAAAGCGCAGTACACGTATTATTCCAATTCTCTCTCCGTTATGAAATGTATGTATAACAATGTAGAATAGTGTTGTTAACGGTTTTCTCGACTGTATCATGTAATTGCGATACTCTCACATGGGGGAAAAGTTAATCTTCCGCCGTGTGTTTGGGAAGAGATTAACTCACGCCTTTTTCCGCGACGGCCAATTCGGATATTTCAAATGCGGCCTGAAGGGAACGAGGGAGGGAGGGAAAGAGTTCGAGCCAGATTTTATCAGCAGACGAGACGGTTGCAGAAGCATAATTAACCTTTCGCCGCTTTGGCCGGCCGAATTCACAAAGGCACGCTGGTGTCGTCGAGTTTCACGCATTTGATAGTGGCATTCGCAAGTTTCGTAAGTAGTTTGAATAACGAGCTTTAGATTCGGCCAGCATGACGGAGTTTAAAAGGCTAACCGGCAGCTCGTGCGTAAATTTCACGTTTAAATATGGGGTCCAATTTGAAGAACTCCGGCCAATGATGTGCTGAGCTGCGCGAGCGCGTCTATTCCGAGTGTTACATTGATAGTGTTGATAACTCACTTCGAAAATCGCTGTGTTATATACCTCGTTATCGTTGTTATCAGTCATAGATTGCGCATACGATTTACCTTCACGATTCCGAAATTTACTCACCATTGTTTACGCGAATAAGACACAACGCTTCCGCGGTGCTGCACCAGTGGCCAGCCTTACAATGGCGTAAAACGATCTTCACGAGCCAACAATTTTCGCGTGACGACTAATTCCTGTGTATTTCGCGGAGAGCCCGGAGAAAGAGAGAGGAGCATCAAGTGTCCTCGAATCTTTGTAGGATTGCGTTCTCTCAGCCTCCAGGCGCGAGTCACTCAACTAATTAGGGACCATTGTATCGCAAAATGTCCCGCTGCCGTTTCTATATCTGTAATTTTGCGAAACATACGCAGCGCCCAGATCCCGTCGATGATTAATTCCTCGGGGATAGAAGGCGGCGAGGGAGGCAGGGTTGGGAAGGGAAGAAGAGGGGCGAAGAGACGCAGAGAGCTGCCTCGTATAGAGCAGTAATCTGCTTAGGAATTACTTTAAAGCGGCATCCTTGACAAATTCAAGTACGTTGCGCACCTCGTTGGGGTGTAGTTCAATCCGCAGGTACGCATCGTTTCCTGCCTCCCTCCTTTTTCTCTCTTTCTCTCTATCCCTCCGTATGCTTGCGCACTTGCTCTCTAATACATTGTTGTCCTCCAGATAAATCAGTTCTCGGGGAAGATTCATTCTGACGAAAGTATCCCGGTTAGAAGGCCAAATTAACGACGTTGCGTTTGACGATTTCGACTAGATCGACGGATCATTTTGTGATTCGGTCAGGCAATGTCAAGCGTGCACTCAGAGAAGACAAAAAAGGATACTTGAAACTTTATTTGCGGGATATATAAAGTTTATATATAAAGAAAGCCAGGCTTTACCTCATAGAGATAAATTTGATGGCCTGCAAATAAACTTTCCAGTATTTTCGCCCAGTGCGGGCAAATCGTGACGATCTCTCACGAGGATCAACGGTGCGGCGATTATGTCGCGATCAAGGGGTTTCATCAAAGAACCTATACTCCCCCGCGACGAGTGAGCGCGACCCCGGAATCGACGATTCAACGATTGTTTCGTACTGACGTAGACACACCCGGCAAAGAAACTGTCGGCAATTTTGGAGGAGGCGTGCACACATACACACACGCGCGCGCACACAGATATACATATATATGTATATATATTTATATATATATATATATATATGCATATATATACATACATTGCTACATGTGCGTCATATTCCACATCATGGCCACGAGTGAGTGCAAGGGGTTGCGTAGAGCAACGTCGACGGAAGGGTGGCGGCGATGCTGAAAAGAGACAGAGAGCATTCCGATTGGCCCATTGTGGTACAGCGGAGCGACAATGCCGGCAATTGGCCGTCGCTCGACAAAACCGCTAAATGATCCGCCGCGGCGCACTGGTGCCACGGCCACTTTATTTCAATCTAGGAAATCCTCCTGCCCTCCTCTCTCCTCGTCTCTCGCCAGTCAGTCCTCCCTCCCCCGCGCTTTCGCGCCGATTCCAGATGCGAAATTACCCCATTTTTCGGTATTAACGGCCGGCCGATGTATCGCGACGATCGCGCGTATGGTAATGCAATCGCGAGTCGCTTCTGACGTTTCCTATATCCCTCTTCCCCGTTGCCAGTCGATTTTGCGATCGCCGGATTCGGACGTTGCGTCGGAATTTTTATGGGGCCCCGCGCGAGAGCAGCTCGCCTCGATTTCCCGGAATCGCAATGAATCACTTCATCGTGCAGTTTGTGCAGTCAGATGATTCTTTCTCTTTGCTTGCTCAGTCTTTTATCAAGTTGAGAAGATTGATGTAACATCGATAAACATTCAGACAAACCTTCACGATATTAACGACGTGTGATAGCGTATGGTGGAAATTTTACAATCTTTTAAATTACACACACATACACGTATACAGGGTGTCCCAGATCACCTTCACAATCTCTTGTGAGGATGTGGAGCGGATTGAAATGAACACAAAAGTCTAATACTATTTTGCGATATTCGCAATAAATCTCAAGATATTAATTAAAAAAGGTTGATGAATAATCACGCGCGATATGGTAGATGAGCTGCAGTGGCGTCATCTGCCGTTGTATACTTACACATTAAGTCAAACTGAACCAAAAATCCTCTACCATTTTGCAAATGATCACATAGATTTTCAGACATTAATTAAAGAAAATTTGTGCATCATGGTACATAATCTTGTGACAATTTTTTTTTTATTAATATCTGAAAATCTATATTGTCATTTGCAAAATGGTAAAAAACTTTTTTGTTTAGTTGAACTTAATATAAAAGTATACAACGGTAGACGGCGCCATTGCAGCTCATCTACCATATCGCCCACGATCATTTACCAATCTTTTTTTAATTAATATCTTGACTATTATTACGAATATTGCAAAATGATATAGAACTTTTGCATTCATCTCAGTTCGCTCTACGTTCTCACGAGAGATTGTGAAGGTGATCTGGAATACCCTGTATGTATATATATATATGACAATTATATTGTGAATTAATCATTAAATTTACATTATAAAATTATTTATTTAATTAATTAAAGGCAAAATCCTTTTTAACATTAAGGAGAGAAACGAAAATTATAAAATTATAAAATTACACAATAATACATAACACATATAGCTTATTTATTGATAATTTGGAAAGTATAAATAAGGTCGTACACGAACTGATCTAAGATTGTGCTGAGAAGAGAAATTATTTGTTTATTTATTTAATTACTTAACGTTTTTTATCACAGCTCGAAGATTCATAAAGGTAATCGATAGAACTTTTTGGGGGCTATCAGAATTCTCAACAACAGAACTCCAAGATTCTGAAAAATATTAAAAATATATAAAAACGCAAAAGAAAACTTATATTCAGATTATTCGATCGTAATTTTCTAAGGGGCTACCGATAAAACAGAACAGTTACATTGGTCCAAATTTTTAAAGATCCCGAGAGATAAAAATTTTTTTCGGAATCTTAGAGTTCCATTAAAAGTTCTGGTAGTCCCCCAAAGAGTTCTGTCGATTATGCTAATGAATCTTCGAGCTGCGATCGAAAACAAAAAAGTTACAGTGGAAGATCCTTCTTAACATTAAGGAGAGAAAATTACGATCGAATAATCTAAATATAAGTTTTCTTTTGCGTTTTTATATATTTTTAATATTTTTCAGAATCTTGGAGTTCTGTTGAAAGTTCTGATAGCCCCCAAAAAGTTCTATCGATTACCTTTATGAATCTTCGAGCTGTGATAAAAAACGTTAAGTAATTAAATAAATAAACAAATAATTTCTCTCCTCAGCACAATCTTAGATCAGTTCGTGTTTGTTCATATACGACCTTATTTACACTTTCCAAATCTCTCTCCTCTTTAATGTTCACTCTTTACACTTTCGAAAATTTAAAAAATTACTCAATGCACAACATAGCTTATGCCGCTGATAATTAGAAAGTCTAAATGAGGCCTACAAAGAAATACAAACATATTTAAAGAGAAAACATTATACAATTTAATATGCAAATAACAACATATATACTTCGAATATGCAAATATTCTAAAGATACTGTTTATATATTGAATGCAAAATTACAAATTAAATATTAATAATAATATGATGTTTAAATATGACGCAACAGATAGAATAGTTGCATGAACTCAGAAATTGCATAGGAGAGGTCGGGGTTATTTGGTCGCTGAGATAAGTTGGCAAAATCTATTTCTACCGTTCTTTAATAGATTTCAGAATCAACCAAGCAGGGATTTCAAAGCTATATAACTTTGATATATTTAAAAATCTTGTTTAATTTTATAACTTGTTAGAAAATATTAGAAATAACTGATTCTGCCAACTAGCCCCGGCCTCCCTATCAGCGTTATATATAGGGTCTACATTTAGCAAATTACACTTGCACAAACGAGGGCGAAATAATGTAAATATTTTATCATATCGATGCAGCAACGGATTTACTAAAAGTTACGCTCAGATTTCCATATTACATTTTATGTAACATATTTTCGTTTTATGTAATATTGTTCCGAGTATATTTCGACCAGTCTTTTTGTATTTCTTTCGTATTTCTATTTTGTCATTCCATGTGAAAAAATTAAATACAAAATAAACTGCTTTCAAAAATCTCAAAAACTAAAAATTATGAAGCAATTTTGTCTTAAAATTTTCAAGTATCTATAATTTTATTTTAATATTCTATTCTATTCTAATATTCTAATTCTACTCTAATATTCTAATAATATTATAAAAATTAGCGTGATAACCTCACTGATTGAATATTTTTTAAAATTATTTATCTTTCTTCAATTAAATATGCACATAGTTGATTAATGTGTTTCTTCCACGCTTACTTTTAATATATTTAGAATATTAGGAGAGGATTGTAGAAATATTCAAAATTATTTTATATTTAGAACTGTGAGATTTTCAAAGACAGTTTATTTTTAAAATTAAAAAAATCTTTTTAGATTTTTATTTTGTATAATTTTCAATTATGTATTAAAAATTTATTTTTAAAATCGGTTAAGAAAAGTTTCTTTTTTTAAGTGGATTAAAAACAAAAATTTTGCCTTGCATTTTTAGGTGTCCTTGGATTTTCAAGAAAGCATTTGAATTATTCAATTTTCAGATCATTTGGGCAAACTCAAATCATAGAGAACCATATTGAAATAACATGTTGAATAAATAACAAATGTTTCATCTTAACGGTTCTCGAGTTATGAGAGAACACACAAAACAAATACATATATAGAACAGAATACCTCAATTTTTTTAAGTCGTTTAATAAACACTAGTGCCATTTAAATCATTCATAATTGACGTCAGTTTCATAAATCGACTAATAAAGTTGCCAATCGGGAAAATTCTTCTTAATATTAAGGAGAAAAACGAAAATTTATAAAATTACACAATAATACATAACATAGCTTATGCTGATAATTTGGAAAATCTAAATAAAATCTATATATGTAAACAAGCACGAACTGGTCTAAGATAGTACTGAAGAGAGAAATATAAATATAGTTAGAGAGATAGAACATTACATAACCAAATACGCAAATAACAACATATATATTTCGAACGCACAAACATTCTAAAAATAGTTACGCACGCCTGTCTGTCTGGATAATTTCCGATTTACGCAATAGACGTCTTTTTCGTAATCTTCTTTGAGCACCGTTAATTAAGGATACTTGCCAAGAAAACGTTCTATCCTAATTAATCGAACGTTTGTGCGAGGCAAGGAAAGGTCGCGCTTGATTATATTTTGCCATCGCGCGAATAATCGGAATAAATGCCCAGAATTTGGCCAAGAATTCGCGGAGGAATTACGCGGAATTATGGAAATATTAGCGAGTTCGATGGTAAATGGTCCGAGGGATTAATACGCGCAGTTATGGAAACGCGTCGGCGTTGCAAACTTTCGAGTCCGGGAGGCGGCGGGTCGCTTAAATGACGCAAGGTTTGCGAGCACTTAGGCGTTAGGGGCTATTCAGGGGCGATTAAATAATTAACAGCAATTAGGCAATTGAATTTCCTGCCCTCGCCCGGCAATGCTCACCTCTTTCCCTCGCCTCAACGTTATTCCTCTCTCCTTCCTCGATGCCACTTTCTTCTCTCCGGCGCGTTTCCCCTGGTTTTCCTCGGTCGCTTGATTTTATTCCGCAATCTAACCGTGTTAAATTGCTAATTCGCCACGGTCTAACGGACCGCGGGTATTATAATTTTATTCGATTGTCAAGTAAGTTGCGATTAACGTCGTCGTATATCATCGCAATCCTTAAAGCTGAGAAAAATTCGCGCATTCCTAGAAAGAAAAAAAACTATCACAGATCACAAACTATCACTCTGCGCGAATAAACAATTGATATTATTATATTGTCTTATTTTAACTGTCTCTTTATAGTACTTATAATTTAAATTATTTGCTTGACACTGTTGCATATGGACATTGCTTACACACATATTTTTCTTTTAGTCTACATTTATCCTGTACATCATGTTTTAAAATTGCGATTGTGTGAAGGACTAAAGGACTAAAGGACACACAATAAATTAAGCTCCCTCCCTCTCTTTGTTTTATTTTATATTTATATATATTCTTTTATAAATTTAATTTTGCATTTTTTTATATACCTTTTCCATTATCGAGTCTGAATAACGATGCCTGAGATATAATAAAAGTTCCCCTCTTTCTCTTGTCCTTTTCTTTTCTCTCCTTCTTTCCTGTCTGGTGCTTCTGGTAGCCAACGAAAAATCGGAGCAACTCAAGCGGAAAGCGAAAGCATTTGTACGGCAACCGGACTAGCGATAGGGTGGCCGATAATAGACGAGGATAGGGCAGGGGTTACTGGCACTCAAGGGTACGGAGGAAATCAGGATAATTGTTAACAATTAGCTTAATCAAGCTCGAGAGCAAGCTTTTGTTGAGCTCTGATACGCGCACCTGGGGTTCTCATGCGCTTCCCTTTTCTGCCCGTTGCGGATCCTCGTGACGAATACCCTGGTATTCTGACAATTAGCGATCATTGAAGGTCGCGTATTATCTCTTAACAGTCTAATACGATAATGGAATTACTTGCGGCAATTTATCATTCGCTGCACTGCAATATTCTCGTCGCGATGGGAGCAAAATACATTGATTAATTTCATACAAAATATTTATCAAGTTAATGATAAAGATCCTAAATATTCGATCAACAAAATATGACAAGTAGAATTGGTCAAATAGAAGCCAGCGCGCTGATATTGGTATAAAGGAGAAATGAATTTAATTACATATCGTCTGTTAAGCAATCTAAAATTATGTAATGCATATCTCAATCAAACGCTCGTTTTAAAATATTTCTCTTCTGTTTCAGGTCTGGTTTCAGAATCGTCGCGCAAAATGGCGCAAGAAGGAAAAGGCCTTAGGCAGAGATACTAGTTTCATGCACGTCGAGCAAGGCGGTGAGTTTCAGCATGATGGTGGTCATTTAAACTGAGCTCTTTGTCGAATTTTACCACTTCTCGTATAAAAAGAGAGAACATTTTTTTTGCGAAAATTACTGTTAGTGATGAATAATTTGTGTTACATCTTGTTTTTATATTCTGCCCCTATTTAGGAATAATTAATCGACTTTTCTCCATGACTTTTTTCGACTCTTAACAAACAGCTGACTAGAAGTTTATCTTATGGTTCTGATCAAGTTGAATCTGATTTGTATAAGATGATGCTATCAGATCTTAATTAATAATAATAATAATAATAATAATTTTTATTAACGAGATAAACGGGACAGTACATATCAAAAATGGAAATACTATCACAAGTAGCAATACAGAAATTCAAAATATAAAGTAAATAAATAAAAATACAAAAATTAAGAATATTTGGAAAAAATTGCATAATCGCGCACATAAGAGAAGTTCTAAATATAGATGGAATTTCATAAAAGGTCAATTTATTAATAAGTTTTTCAATTCATAAACAATTTATAAGGTTCTAATTTAATCAAAAAATATAATCTAATTCCTTAGCGTAATCATCTTACACATATGGCTTCAAGAGGACTGTTTTAAAATTAGAAGGAAAATATTCTTACACTCAAAAAAAATAACTTCAGTGTTGCAAGATGCTATTTCCTTTATTCCACTTTCTAAGCAAATATTTTTACCGAAATAATATTCGTTTTCTAATGAAATGGAAATCTATTAAATATTATTTTAACCTTTTTCCTTTCTTTTAAATCAAGAAGAATATATTTAACAGAATAATCTCTTACTAAAAGAAATTTCTATTAACAAGACTGGAACTGTGTAAATGAAAGATGAAATTTCATTAATTTTAAGAGAAAATTGTACCTAGAATATTTTCTTTTCTGATTTTAAAAGAACTTCCTTAAAAAGAAAGAGACACATATAAGAGGGTTCTGTTAAAGATAAGATTATATATTTTTTAGTGTAATCTCAATTATTTTAAAATAATACCGTGGCCTCTTACCGATACCTCTTAAGGCCACATATATAAGAGAATTACACTGAAGATAAGATTATATTTTTTTGAATATTACATTGAAAACTCTCATTATTAATGAGGTCTTGATTATCACTCTGCGTTAATAATAATTGATCAAGACCCGATAACATCGTTTCGTACAAACCAAATAACTGATTGGCTTCAATCTGATCGGGATCGATTTCTAGTCGGGCTGTCCTTAGTTTGCTAAAGATTCGGGCATTTTCTGGCGACAGTCGCTTCGCGGGTCGTTGGACAATCGCGAATGCTCGTTTTTATCCGCACAGTTGCTTCGCTGTAACGTAGTAATGCGCGTGTTACGCTCGCTAACACACGCAGGCAAGGCAGGACGGCAGGGGAGGCACGAGTTACGAAGGGTAGATGCAATCGGCGACAATTATGTCTAATTTCAGTGTCGGCCGTCGCAGCCATCACGTGCGAATGATGCGCAATAGAAACCCTGGTCTATTCATTTTTCATGAGAGAGACGCCCTGCGGATAAAACCCGCACGTTGACGGGGAAGGGAAGCAAGCAAGGCGAAAAAAATATTTCTGCTAATGACTCCGACCTCGCGGTACTCACGATCGATTTTTATTAACTACGTTCGAACGTATAATGAGGAAGCTCGCGTTTTTCAAATTCCGTTCTTGCCTTTAACTAGCGCATCACTCATATCGTTAATGAGTCGTGTATATAAAGAAAAAAAAAAAAAATTCAGGGAAATTATGTTCTCATTTCTCGTCGAAAAGGGACGGCTCAGTCAGGAATTTTGGTTTGATCTCTAAGTGCACTATGACTTTTTAATTTTTGCATTCAATGCAAACAAATTATTTATTAAAATATTAAGACGCATTTTTACCGTGTCCCTTGATGTTTATTGTTTTAATTTGAAATTGATATTTCACTAAGGGTTTTTACTCGCTCGATTTTTGTTTTATCTTATTTTATTAATTGTACATATCTGAGAGTCTTTTTAATTATATATTTTGTTGTCAAATTATTCATCAATCATCGTTATCGTTGTCTATATATATATATATATATATATATATATATATATACTTTTGTCATAGAAAATGATCGGATCGCTTTTGAAGAAGACAGAAACTTGAACGCAACTTTTTCAGTGACCTAATATAAGAACGCCCGTGACAATTTGAAATAATTTTATTTCATTTTTTAAAGATGTAAAGAATATTTCTAATACACTGAGAAAATATTGTAGTAAAAGTTGCAACAGAAGTTTAGTAATCTTCGATTATATAGAATTATATGATCGAAATTATATGTTTGTTTAAAAATATTATGCACATTTGACTTATTACTACAAACTCATTGTTATTACTTGAATATTTTTATATCACATATCAGGTATAGATCATCAAATTTATACTGTTTTTATGATAATTTGTATTACAAATTCAATATATATCCAGCTTTCTCAGTATAGAGCTTTCTCAAGCAGTATATATATATACATATATAGAGAGAGAGAGAGAGTATGTGTGTGTTTTTATAAAAACAATATACAGTTTAGCTTTATAAAAAAACTTTTAAAAAAGAAATATAATTTTTTAATGTAATTTTTAGTATAATATTTTCTCCGTGTACAACAAAGGCAAATTCATTTGAATTTTAAGGGAAGATTTTGGTTTAGATAACTGAATAATAGAAGGTTTTTACAGATTTTTTTAGAGAAACAAATAAAGATATCAATGTAGAATTTTGCTTATACTATTTATCATTGTTACAAGTATAAAATATTATTAAAGAAATGAAATTTCGTTCTGGTTTTTTGTACTGCGTTCTGGTTTTTTGAGCGCCAGACGCTTCTAATTGGCGGGTAACGTTATTGCTCGTGTAATAATCTGAATCAAACGGAACAAGAACATTTAAAAATTGTATTAAATTTATTAGAGAATAAATGTAAATTTTTTTGAAAATTTTCAGAATTAGTATTATTTCCGGGACACTAGATAAAAAAAGAAAGAGAAAGAGAAGGAAAATTACTTGTAAATTCAAACGCCACCATTGCCGCTATTTTGTTAAATTTAAACTTTTTGCATATAACATTCTCCAGCAAATTTAATATTAGTTTTTAAATTTCCTTGTCCCCCTCCCCCCTATTTGATTTAAACACACGAGCTGCACTGTTCGCCAATTAGAGACGATCGGCGACCTTGCGTTCAGCATAAAAAGCTTGAACATAGTTTCAATGTTCTTTCAAATAATATTTTTATACATAAAACAATGATAAATAGTATAGTAGAAATCCTTTATTGATATCTTTCTTCATCTCTTTGAAAAATTTCGTAAAAACCTCCTATTCTCTTAACTATCTACTGAGAGAAAAAATATCTAGGAAATAAAAAAATTTATTCAGTGATGTACATTTACCTGCATCCAAATTTTTTTATTTAAATAGAATAAGCAATTGATTTCATAAAAATTTAAGGTCTTAAGTTTTTCTTATCTGCAAAATATTTTATATAAATAAATATGTGTTAATAGTACCGAATAGTAGTAGCAAATAAATATTTTTCATTCTTTAGATATTTTTTCTCCCACAGTAAATTCCAAAACTTGTCCTTAAGACGCCGCCTCGACGCGCTAAGAACGCGCGATGGGCGTACGTGTCGCACGACCGTGCTTTCCGCATTAAAAAGAAAAATATAGAAAAAAAGGAACAACAGGATTTCCAAAACAAACGGGACTATCTCTAACGGGACTTCTCGATAATCCAAAATCGCGCTTTGTTTGTGAAAGAGACCGGCTTTCGATGGACGAGAAATCAAATAAAAGCAGGTCCGCCGAATCCTGTTTGCAGGTGTGAGCGAGTTGTCCCTTCACGCGCGCCTGCTGCAAACGGCCAGCGGCGTCCCCGGCGCCGATCCTTCGGGACCACCAACTGGCGCGTTTCCTTGGTTCATCCCGCCGGTGTTCCCGCCGCCGTGGCCGACGAGCGCGCCCAAGCTGCCGCCGTTGCACGCGATCCTGTCGCAGTACATCGGCCTGCCGTTGCCGCAGAACTTGGCGTCGCTCGGCACGATGCTGCCGGTCGGCCTGAACCCGGCCGCGTCGTCCTTGAACCACGGCAACGTGAACGGCCACACCCTGGGCGGCCACGGTCTGCACGGGCACCCCTTGAATCTCGGCGGTGTGCAGAACATACCGCAGAACTTGAGCTCGAAGCACGACAAGGACGAGGACTCGGCGTCGTCCGACGACGAGATCAGGAAGCAGAGCGCGGAAGTGCTGAGAGTGAAGGCGGAGGAGGTGCTACGCAAGGCGGACAATTAACTGTGAGAGCTCGCGGACTTTTGTAAATACGGAGGACCCTCGTCCCCCCGGGGGTCCTTCATCCGGGAACTTTAGCCGGCCGTTTGGTACCGTTTTGGTGCCGACGCGAAGGAGTTTCGACGGGTGTCCGGCTGTGTGGAGACAGCCGCGGCTGCTTCCGCGTCGCGCTTACGCGTGCGGAGCGCGCCGAGGACGATTCTCTTGCTCATCAGTGTGTAAGCTCATCGCGGATTTAAGCTTGATCTACAATGCGTTCTTTGCTTCCTGGTTCTTGTCTGTCTTTTTCTGGCTTAAGTCCAGATCTACAATGTGCTCTTCGCTTCCTCTGTTTCTTCTTTCTCTTTATTTCTTTTTGACTTAAACCTAAAGTTTTTAGCTAGAACAAGATAGAGAACAAGCAACAGGAAGCAAAGAACACATTGTAGATCAAGCTTTATCCTCTGCGATCACAAGTCGACATCGACAGGCATTCTTTTAATGTATACACGCTGTGTCCCGGCTGGAAACGCGCGTAGGCGAGACCGACGCGTTCGCAGACTCGTTTTGACGGACGGAGGCCGTTTGTGAAATTTTCACCTGTGCAGAACCCAACGGTAAGGTTTGGTGCACAATGGGTATAATGAGTTTGGAGTCTTTTGGCCTCTGGACGCCAAACTGCAACGCAATTTCCGACAGGTCTCCCGCGTTGCCAGAAGTCGTGATTACTCTTAAGGGATGCTGGATATCGATACAATGCAGTTTTTGTACTTTGTACGTTTTTCTATTTGATTAAATGGAATTGGCAATAAAAGTGTATTTATAAATAGGATTCTGAATGGAATCAAATGATGAACAAACAGAGTATCTAAGAGCCAAGCAAGTTAATGAAGTGCTATAAAGTGTTATTTCTAGATGTGCAAAGTATCCAGATGAAGATATTATAATTTTGTACATTTAGAAATAACACTTTATAGCGCTACATTAATCGTGCTTGGTTCTTACGAACTATATTTATTTATAATTAGAATTGCAAATGTTTATCTAGAGTGAAAGTACAAATGTCAATGTATGGCGGAGCACACCATATTATATAAAAAACAAAAAATTACTTTAAATATAAATTTAAAAAATTTTTTGTATAATGTGGGATGTACTCTACTATTAATTGATATTTGTGCCTTCGCTCTGTATAAGCATTTGCAATTCTATGTAATTAAATATAAAAGAACAGTGCAAAATACGAAATTGCATTATGTCGGTGTTCTCTTAAGGTTTAGGAATTTCGATATCTGACAGTACGGGAAACGCCTACAATGATTATGTAACAATTTCGGGTTCTGACAGAAAGGCTACGCGCTTACTACCCGTTGTGGATCGAGCCTAAGGAGTATACGGAGAAAATATTGCGGTAAGAATTACAATAAAATTTTTAATTTTAGGCTATACAGGAATTATAATCGGAATGATGATGTATTTGTTTAGAAGTCTTACGTTGGACTTTTTACTAAATTATTCTAATTACTTGAAAATTATTGTAATTACTTGAATGTTTTTTCTGTCGAATATTCAGTAGATAGGTCGTCAAATTTATTATTTCTATAATAATTTATACTGTACTCAGAAAAAAATACACGGTAATATGGCAACTGTATGTGGAATTAGTGTGTATAGTTTCATAAATTACTTTGTAATTAAAGCTGAGTGAGATTATGAGAACTACATAATGACTATGTGTAAATAGTTCCCGTAACTATTCGTCTCTAGTTGCAATAACTAAAAAATAATTTATTGAGCTGTATACATTAATTCTATGTACAAAAAATTCGTGTGTATCTAGCTAAAAATCATCTATTCGTCATCGTCTAACTGTCACCGTCGTGTCTTTTTGCCTGAGTGTATAATGTGCCAGTAGAGTCCAGTTTGACAAAAAACATAGTGAAGTGAAATCTAATTTTAACGCAAGTTTTACTCCAATATTTTCTCCGTGTATGGCGTTTCTCCCCGGGACATCCTGTAGGATCTCGGTCTAGTCACGGAATCGAGTAGCTGACATTCGGGCAGGTAGCGGATTACATTCGACACAAGCGTGTGCTTGATCACTCGTCGCGGCTAAAGTATCGACGATCCTCGACGCCTTCGATCAATGATCGCCGATATCGACCGAGCGACGCTAATTAGCGGTTTGCTTGTGACGCGATAGCGAGTTTATCGTGCGGCAATTATTAATCGGTAATTAGCCGCTATCGAGTACACACGTCCCTTTGATCTGGGGTCACAAAGACGATACGCATTAAGGATCGCGAATATCCGTGTCGATTCGCCCACGCTCGAGTCGAGTCTGTTAGTTGATAAAGCAAAGGGGCCGAAGCACAGACGACCGATCTCTCGATAACGATATCGATGATACGCAACGGCGCGATAAACATTGCTGCTGGATTCAAAACGTGGGTCTCCCCTTCTCGCGAAATCTCAGCGACAGAGTATAACTTGTGTTATTGCATTTCGCCGAGCGAAGGAAAGCCAAGAGTTTCTTTGCCGATTACTTACGACTGAACGTTCATGGCATTCCAAATCTTGCAGAAGCGAATGATTCACGTCGTCTAACGGATTGCGTCGTTCTGCCACTGACAAACAATAATTCCGCCATCCACCATCGAGTAAATGATTAACGAAAAGAGAAAATTCCGTCATTTTCCCTCTTGCAACGTTAATTGCGGAAAGTCGCGACGAGTCTTTGGGAGATGAGGTGTCGCGCGTCCGCGGACGGGTTAGTGGTGTTTCACGCATTATTATACGCGTATTAATTATCTAGAGCTATATATGCTGCTCGAATCGTTACTCGACGACGACGTAACAGTATGTTTCATCGATGTCAAGGATTGACTCAGTGTGGCTGCGGGGCAAATCAGCGCGCATCAATTAGGCTCGTTGTTTCGCCGAGCTGAAGTATAACTTCGGGATATTGCTCGATGTTATAAATAACAACACGATTCGGCAGTGACGGCTATTTGTTTCACGGACTCGACGAAATCGAGAGACGGCGATTTTCCAGCGAATTTATCATCTGTTTTTCATCTTTCTCAGAAGGAGCCTTTCTTTAGTGTACTTGACATTTTTGAGGAGCACAATCGATTGAAATATTTCCTTTTCCCCTTCGTGAAATCTGTGCAATGTCACGCTCGCGAATCACCGTGCTGCAATTGGCTTGATTGATCCCGCGTGCGAAGAAGTGAACGAGGGGTGCACCGACAGTCGCATAGGACTTCTCTCGAAGGATCAAGTGCCGTACAGAATCGCCTGCGTTATGTATCAGGTGAAGTGTATCGCGCGAGGCAAGATTTTGTAAGATACATGTATTATACACGCATTAGTTATACCATGTATACATATGTATATGAGATACAAGCTACTGACTTTGTGTAAATATGTAGGTTGCCCATCGAGTTGAAAAAAAATATATTGCACTTACAAGGAATCACGCAGCGTATTTCCTTTGGAGGAAATTCCCAACATTGCGCGCTGCCTACGTGGAGTCGGCAGTCTCCTCGAAGGCGATCCTTTCTCGTCATTCAATACGATTTGTAGACTCGTGTATTCATTAGAATTGGTATGATATTTTATCGTATTATATGAAAAAATTATATAATTTGGCGTTTTAAAGTATTGTGTGCAGATTGATCAAAAGCAACGATTAACTCGACGGTCGGAGATCTTCCATAAAATCATTAAGTTCAACACAATACATTATGGAAAAAAATCGATGTAATTTAGCACATCGAATATTATAGAATGATCCACAGGTTTGCTCGGTGATTCTTGAAAGCTTTCTTAAAATTTTCTCTCGGAGGATTTTCGTGTACAAACATCAAATTTAATGCAATATTTTAATATATTATGAAAGAAAATAATATAATTTATACATGAAAATAATACAGAATAATTCACAAGATTAACAAGCTTAGTGATTCTTGAACATTTTCTTGAAAATGGTTTTCTTTCAAAAGGAAAAACCAATTTCGCAGGATTCACATACTATTATTAAATTCAATGAAATATTTTAATGTATGATAAAAGAAAAACTATATAATTTGACACATCAAAATAATACAGAGTTAATGAGTTCGGTGATCCTTAAAATCTTCCTCAAAATTTGTTTTCCTTAAAAAAAAAAATGAAATTTTGTATACAAAACTATCAAATTTAATATAATATAATATTTTGATATAATATAATATTATAATATAATATTATAATATAATATTATTTATATAATATAATATTTTGATATATATTATGAAAAAAGATATAATTTATCAGAATAACACAGATTTTTGATATATTTTTATATTATGAAAAAAGGTATAATTTATCAAAATAACATAGATTCGCGGAATTAACGAGCTCGATGAAGCTTCTTCAAAATCAGTCGTCTTTATACGTCAGTTATGCTATATAATTGAGCACATCGAAATATCATGGACTGCACAACGACCCGTGAGAGAATGAGGGTCGGAAACGGCTTGCTAGCTTGTTCGGGCACACCAGCCAGCAGCCTGGACGTCCATCGATTGCACGTGCTCACACGTCGACTTGATGTGTACATTCGAGCGAACGGCCGCGCTCACTTGCGTATATCACGGTTAATAAGCGGCAGGTGCCAGGTGATCCGACTCTTTTTCACGCCCGGCTGCGGCCTGCGACTACTGCGCCGCTAATTCGTCCTGTCCGTGCGCGAACGATTCACACGCGGGCGGGAGCGCGACGAAATCGCTTCCGCGTCATTAATCGTGAAAAGATTTGCCGCGTATTGGCCGCGTCATTACGACGATTTCCTGAATTCCGCGCGCAGCTGGCGCACCCGCACGCACCCCGAATTCCCACGGACCCGGCCGCCACCGACTGTACATGTTGTGTGTCGCGCACCCTTGCCCGCCCACCCCACCGTCGTCGTCCTCGTCGTCGTCGTCGTCATCGTCACCCAGCTCGTCATTGTTATCCTCTCGCTCGTGCCATGGGCTGGAAAGTGAATTTCGTCCGGCAGGCGGGAGGATCACGGGGCGCATCACGGCGCGAGAGTGCCGGTAACACGCACAACGGCAATTACAATCCGGCCAATTTATCCGCGTTATCAGGAATTTATCTGTCGAGGGAAGGCCGAAGGCCGAGCGGCAGGACGGACGCGGCGGGAATTATCGTTATCGGCGTGCGTTATCGCGCGGGGAAGTAATTATTGCACCACCTGCTTGGGAAGCGCGCGCGATCGACGGGCTCGATAGAGCACGCCGATAACGCGCGACCGGGTGAATGATATTTCATTTCAAAGGTGGGAGGCCGCAGCGGCGAAATTTCGTCGACGGCGAGAGACTCTGGAGAGAACGGCTGTTTTTTTTCATAATTTATACAGAGCCGCAGGGAGCACGGCAGGCAATGAAATTGAAATGAAAGTGGAAAGAACGCCGAATAAATAATTCGATAACAGTAACGAACTTCTCTCGTATTTCCGATGGTGCGTAGAAAAAAAGGACACTTTTGGAAAATGTCTTTATTTTTGACGTGTTAATCTTCAAGCGAGATTACATAGCATTAAACAAAGATAGGTTACTTGCAAGAATATATTTTATATATTTTCATTAATGTAAGGTACAAAATATTGAATTGAGAATATGATGTTTATAAATGTCAAGAGAAGATATCATTATCAAGAAAATAATTATATTATACTTCTTATGAGAAAAATTATATTGTACTTTTTATAATAATATTCAAATAACATTATAACATTATTGAAATTTAAAACTTCAAAATTCTTCTAACAAAATTAGATATATTTGCTTATGTATGAAACAATGATTGTTTTATATATAAAACAATGATTATTAATTTAAATATATGGGTTTTAAGTTAATAGGGGAATCTGGAACATAACACACGTTTAAATAATATTCTCAAAACATATTCTCAATCTAATATTTTGTGCTTTTTATTAATGAAAATTATTTTTGTATAAGAGAACACAGGTTTTTCTTTGTTGAATTCATATAAAATATATTCTTGCAACTTGTTATAGATATTTTCCAAACAAGTGCTTTTCTTTGC